TAAACTGACAGAAGATAGAGGTATGGGTGTGTGGGGGTAACACAGGTTGCAGCATGAGGGATGAAAGCAACACATATTACCAGGATACTTCAGGGATGTATTTAAAAGACATTATTCTTCATATAGTTACTAATAAAGGCAATGCAACTGGTCAACAGAGACAACAGAGGATTTGCTATACTAATAGAAGGAGTGCACAAAAATTAGATGAGCTAAGATTAATCGCATGCGTAGGAAACAGATATTATTGTTATAACAGAGACCTGGTTCAACCTGGCCACCAGGCCACAGTGCCCCGTAGCCTGGTGGCTAAAGTTCTCACTTCACACGGCGAGAGTCCGGGTTCGATTCCCATAGAGGGCAGAAACATTGGGCGTGTTTCCTTACACCTGTTGTCTATGTTCACCCATCAGTGTAAAATGGGTACCTGTGTGTTAGTCGACTGGTGTGGGTCGCATCCTGGGACAAAACTGACCTAATTTTCCCGAAATGCTCAGCATAAAAAGTGTATTTTCTATGTAGTAGTATGTCATTGATGTCAGCTAGGACTGTATACCTTGTACATGTACTTGTAGAAATAGATATTATTATTGAGAAATGCCTTCTGAATGCACAAACAAGGCTATTAATTATTTCACGCCGATATAGTTAATAAAAACGGTGGTGGAGTGGCGATGTAGTCAGAGACAATTTAAATTGTTGCGTTAGACAAAATATAATAGAAGCATCGGACACAATCTGTTTAGCTACAGTTTCTGAAGAGACGTGAAAAACTAATCTTGGGTGTGATTTACAGGCCCCCAAAACTTGATAGGGAATGCAGTAAACTTCTGTTGGAGAAAACTCATGTTACCGAGAGATTTTAACTTTAGACACATTAATTGGAGTAATCTGACAGGAAATATTATGTCTACAACTTTCTTGATACGATCCAGGATTGCTTTTTAAGAGTCTGTGACAGAACCAACTGGAGGAAACAATCTGCTTGACTTGGTTCTTGCCAACAACGAATCACTAATTAATAATCTTGAGGTTAATGATGAGCTTGGGGAAAGTGATCACAAATCGATTTGGTTTAACATATCGTGGAATTACTTTGACTACAACCAAGTCTTTGTCCCTGACTTAAGCTTGGTCAGTTGCACAGGACTGAGAAATTACACGTGTCAGATAGGTGGTGATGGTTGCCAATAAGACATTTTTCAAACCATAGTTCAAGCTTCCCAGACTACTTGTGTTCCAAACAGGAAAAGTAGATAGAGCAAAAATGACTCTAAAATAAATAAACAATGGATTAAAGCATCTTATAGGTCAAAAGAGAAGCCTTTACAGGGGAATCAAAAGTGGTATTTAAGGTATAATTATATTCAATTAAAGAGTAATAAGAGAAGCGATTTGACAATTAACCCAAAAGCTTTTTTTTTCAGGTATACAGGAGAGAGATTAGGGACAAGATAGACTGACACAACAGCTGTTCGAGTCAGCTCACTGACAGTCATCAATAAATGTGCAGAAGCTTTAATTACTTCCTCTCAGATTTATGTAGAAGACACTAGCCTGCTGCAGTGCTCCTTCCTGAGCGTGTGAGTTGGACATACCTAGCACGGGCCAGCAGCAGTGTTCCTTCATTATTATATTTTTAAATAGGTGTTTTGTCAGTTTTAAACTGTCATGGCTTAAAAGTTTAAAGAATGATAATTATACAAGTAACTTATGAGTGATAAATGTTGAAGTGTACATATAAACATTTAAAAATATACTTAAAGTGTTATAAATAATGCAAAGATGACATTACAAAAACATCTGAAGATGGTTGACACAAACCCGTTACTTATATCAATGTTGTATATTTACTGTTGATCAGGAGAGGCTTTCTAAAGTTATTATGATACAACCACACTTGTCAGTCTATAAAATTAATCAGGAAGGATCAATATATACAAATATTAGCATAAACCTGACTATAGTTATGCTGTTAAAAAATCGTATGAGGCTTTGTTTAGTTAAATACGGCAGCTTGTGAGGGATAATAACTAAGGTAGTTACTTCAGGTTAATCTCCGAGTGATACACAATAGACAGATATAACTTGGTCACTATATAATGCCAGGAAGTTATTCCCGTATCCTGTAAGCTCAACCCCGTCTACTTCGATGTAAGAGAGAAAGGAATAGTACAGAGTGCGGTTATTGCACGAATTACATCTTTTTATAAATCTGGAAAATTAAAACATACTCTATCCAATATGAGTGCAAAGATTTTTTTTGAGAAAAACACATAATTGGTACAAATTTGATGTTGATATAAAGATGCATTCTCGAGTTATTACATTAAAACCAATAATTTCAAGTTTGTAAACTGTGTTTAAAACTTAACAAGTTTGTGCCAACACAGTATAAATATATAACAATTATTCTTGTTATATATCAACTCATAAAGATTCATAACAAAGAGTATCATGAAGAAATAAAATAATTACTTTAGCACATTAGTATGTGAGAAATAAATCGACTTTCTTATCTATTCTAATGGTTATAATTATAACCATAATTTTTTAAAGGGATGGAGGGGTAAGCCAGTGGAAGGTCTCGGTCAGATGAACAAAAGCTCTAACTGTGGATCATCATATGACTAAGACTCGTGTCAGGAAACACCTGTCTTGTTTCCTAACGAACCTTGCATAACCTTACCTAATTTAACCTAACCTTACCTAACCTAACCTAACCTAACCTAACCTAATTTTACCTTGCCTTACATACCCTTACCTAACCTAACATAACTTAACCTTACCTAACCTTTCCTAACATAACCTAACCTAACTTTACCTTACCTTACCCAACCTTGTCTTACCCAACCTTGCCTTACCCAACCTTGCCTTACCCAACCTTGTCTTACCCAACCTTGCCTTACCCAACCTTGCCTTGCCTAACCTAACCTAACCTAAACTTGCCTTACCCAACCTTGCCTTACCTAACCTTGCCTTACCTAACCTAACCTAAACTTGCCTTACCCAACCTTGCCTTACCTAACCTTGCCTTACCTAACCTAACCTAAACTTGCCTTACCCAACCTTGCCTTACCTAACCTTGCCTTACCTAACCTAACCTAAACTTGCCTTACCCAACCTTGCCTTACCTAACCTTGCCTTACCTAACCTAACCTAAACTTGCCTTACCCAACTTTGCCTTACCTAACTTAACCTTACCTAACCTAACCTTACCTTACCTAACATAATCTTACCTAACCTTACCCTACCTAACCTAACCTAACTTTCTTCTAAGTAGGATAGACCAGCTTTAAAAATATAAACTATTATGAGAGAGTCTCTAGTCATGGAAACCAAACTCGGGAATGTATATGAAGCCCAGATAAACTTGTGCCAGCCACTCTCGACCTGTCACTAACAATGGTAATTGTTTAAGCTGGTCGAATTAGGCATTTTGAAGGTATGAGCCAAAACGCAAAATCTTGAGGCGTTCCATATTTTTTTTTTTTGCCAGATTAACCAGGCTGTGATGGATATGTGTGGCATTGGGCCTCCAGCAGCAACAGCCTGGTGGACCAGGCAAGCACCAGACGAGCCTGGCCCATGGCCGGGCTCAGAGTGCAGAAACTCTTCAAGCTGTACCTGAGAATAAGTGTTTCCTGACGCGGGTCTTAGATGATAACCCGCCTTTAGAGCTTTTGGTCATCTTACCGAGTCCTTCCGCTGGCTTACCGGTCCACCCTTTTAAAAATTATGGTCATTTATAACCATTTAGTTATAAATTTTATGAATATTTGGTTATCGTCGCAAAATTTCAAGTTTGATAATATATTAAAGTTGGTAAACTGGCTGTTACTCAACAATGTTAAAATATATTTAACTGAACTGCACCAGTGTTTATACAGTCAAAATTATCAGTATTTTTTTCCAGTAGTTGTAGGGAAAGTAATTTAATATTTGCAAAATACAATTTTTATATAAAGTCTATTAATGCTGAAGACGATCAGAAAAACAATCTTCAGTTAATACTGTGGGATTCATCAGTCTTTAAAGATGAACACAGTTGAACACAGTTGAACAAGTTTGGTAAAGTGGCACCTATACACTCCAGTAATAAGTTTTATATTCTTACAAGTTATATAAACCAGTGACTAAAAGTTGAAGCCGATCGGAAGAGGCTTTCTAAAGTTATCACTAGGAAAGAAAATTTGTGAATGATGTATATATCACTGACGGAAGAGCTCCCATGTATGTCAATACTTGCATGAACCTTCCCTTAATTACAGTACATCAGCGATGAAAAGTTGAAGACGACCGAATGATGCATTCTTTAGGTATAAACGAGAACACAGGTCTGTCTCACTGTATATACTGAGAATTTGCTTTAATCCCTATTTTAGGGATTACGGTATTTTCTAACCTGGAGCGCCGATGGTTCCCGTGTAACCGAAGTCTTTAAACCCAATTAACCGGCTAATATATACAAAGGTTATCTAAACGGAGGTGTGTATCTATCTCTGTAAGTGAAGTGAAAGTTACATTGTTTCTATACTTGAGATTGTACTTAATATTACTGATTAATTTTGTTGCTGACAAACCTACAGAGACGGATAATCTAACTAACCAGTTTTTCTTATAATAATAAGGTCGACAGAAGGAATCACATGAAAACAAGTTTAGTTTATTCCCACATCAATCACTGGATATTATCTCTAAGTTAACAGGTGGACGTGTTTTCTTTCAGATATCAGATGTTCATGTTATCACCTGAGATGTGTAACACCTGCTGTTGAGTATCCAGCTTCCCAGTTATCATACTTGTCCATGATAGGCTTAATTATCATTTCTAGTGTTGCTAGGATAATATACAGGTACAGAATGTGTTACTATCCTAGTTATTACTCTTTACTGCTTTTATTGTCACTGTTATTGTCAGTTATATGTCAAGTTTATCTATGTTTATTTGTAAAGAAGTCTTTCTTTTGTACATCTACCGATGATTTTCTTTCCTCAAGGTTCACAGTCTCAGAGTTACGTGGAATTCATGCAGAAGAATTATCGGCCAAATTTCACTTACCCGGACTTCGCACCGATGTTCACGGCTGAGTTCTACAATCCTGAGGAGTGGGCAAGTATTTTCGAGGCATCAGGGGCCCGCTACGTGGTACTGACCAGCAAGCACCATGAAGGCTTCACCAACTGGCCATCTCGTTACTCCTGGAACTGGAACAGCATGGACGTCGGACCCAAAAGAGACCTCTTGGGTGAGTTAACATTATAAATAAACAATATTATAAAGACTATTTCTCCAGCAAGGTTGTATTTGCCAGCTTACAGTGCCGGAGTTAAAATGAAGATCTCTGGAGTCACTTAATTTTACAATTTCTTTCGTCAGTGTCACAAACTGATCAAGATAAGATAGTATATCTCGACTATTTAATTCGATAATTTGATTTCTAAACAGTTTAATTTTTAGGTTGTGGTGTTGTCCTACCTCAGTTCTTCTCAATGTCAATTTCTATTTAGGTTATAAGATTTAAGATGGCCAACTATCCATGCTTATGGCATACCCAAAACAATGGACTATCCCTGCCTAAGGTATACTTCCACCTCCAAGTACAAGACTTAACAGGGAATTCCTGATCACCTTCCCCTTAAGGGAGGTTCCTTAACGCTGGTGGGGGGCTCTTGATCTAGGGAATTGGATCTGTGCATTGAGTCTGAATACCTTCCATCCCCCCCACATGAGCTGTATAATTCTACGGGTTTAGCGCTCCCCCATGATTATAATCCTGATCACCTTCTGGAAAAAAAAAGTATCAATACATAAAATTAAAAGATAATAGATAATCGAATAAAAAAACAATTATTTCCTTTGTATAATAATTTTACAGAAGTTAGACATAACCATTCTAAAGTCTGTTTACATATTTCTGGTGGCTAAAGCTCCCGCTTCACACACGGAGGGCCCGGGTTCAATTCCTGGCGGGTGGAAACATTTCGACACGTTTCCTTACACCTGTTGTCCTGTTCACCTAGCAGCAAATAGGTACCTGGGTGTTAGTCGACTGGTGTGGGTCGCATCCTGGGGGACAAGATTAAGGACCCCAATGGAAATAAGTTAGACAGTCCTCGATGACGCACTGACTTTCTTGGGTTATCCTGGGTGGCTAACCCTCCGGGGTTAAAAATCCGAACGAAATCTTATCTTATCTTATCTTCTGTGCGCAGGTGATCTAGCAGAGGCCATCAGGTCTACTACCGATATCCACTTCGGTATCTACCACTCATTGTTCGAGTGGTTCCACCCGCTCTACCTCGACGACAAGGCCAATAACTATCATACTAACAACTTCGTTACATCCAAGACCATGCCAGAGCTCTACGAGCTGGTAAGTCCGTGCCAGAGCTCTACGAGCTGGTAAGTCCGTGCCAGAGCTCTACGAGCTGGTAAGTCCGTGCCAGAGCTCTACGAGCTGGTAAGTCCATGCCAGAGTTCTACGAGCTGGTAAGTCCATGCCAGAGCTCTACGAGCTGGTAAGTCCATGCCAGAGCTCTACGAGCTGGTAAGTCCATGCCAGAGTTCTACGAGCTGGTAAGTCCATGCCAGAGCTCTACGAGCTGGTAAGTCCTTGCCAGAGCTCTACGAGCTGGTAAGTCCTTGCCAGAGCTCTACGAGCTGGTAAGTCCGTGCCAGAGCTCTACGAGCTGGTAAGTCCGTGCCAGAGCTCTACGAGCTGGTAAGTCCGTGCCAGAGCTCTACGAGCTGGTAAGTCCGTGCCAGAGCTCTACGAGCTGGTAAGTCCGTGCCAGAGCTCTACGAGCTGGTAAGTCCGTGCCAGAGCTCTACGAGCTGGTAAGTCCGTGCCAGAGCTCTACGAGCTGGTAAGTCCATGCCAGAACTCTACGAGCTGGTAAGTCCGTGCCAGAGCTCTACGAGCTGGTAAGTCCGTGCCAGAGCTCTACGAGTCACAAGTGTTAAGAGGGGGGGGGGCAGGTCGCAGATTTCGAGCAAATTACCTCAGTGATGGTGATAAATTACACCAGTGATGGTGATAAATTACCTCAGTGATGGTGATAAATTACCTCAGTGATGGTGATAAATTACACCAGTGATGGTGATAAATTACACCAGTGATGGTGATAAATTACACCAGTGATGGTGATAAATTACCTCAGTGATGGTGATAAATTACCTCAGTGATGGTGATAAATTACCTCAGTGATGGTGATAAATTACACCAGTGATGGTGATAAATTACACCAGTGATGGTGATAAATTACACCAGTGATGGTGATAAATTACACCAGTGATGGTGATAAATTACACCAGTGATGGTGATAAATTACACCAGTGATGGTGATAAATTACACCAGTGATGGTGATAAATTACCTCAGTGATGGTGATAAATTACCTCAGTGATGGTGATAAATTACACCAGTGATGGTGATAAATTACACCAGTGATGGTGATAAATTACACCAGTGATGGTGATAAATTACACCAGTGATGGTGATAAATTACACCAGTGATGGTGATAAATTACACCAGTGATGGTGATAAATTACACCAGTGATGGTGATAAATTACCTCAGTGATGGTGATAAATTACACCAGTGATGGTGATAAATTACACCAGTGATGGTGATAAATTACACAGTGATGGTGATAAATTACCTCAGTGATGGTGATAAATTACACCAGTGATGGTGATAAATTACCTCAGTGATGGTGATAAATTACACCAGTGATGGTGATAAATTACCTCAGTGATGGTGATAAATTACCTCAGTGATGGTGATAAATTACCTCAGTGATGGTGATAAATCACCTCAGTGATGGTGATCAATTACCTCAGTGATGGTGATCAATGGTATACAATACCAACACAATATAATAATAAACCCAGAATCAGTATAATATGATCCTTTATTTACAGACACTTATTCTTGGTTATATTATTTTCAACAATACGATAAAACACATAATTAGCAGTGTAATTATTTTTGCAAGCCAAAACATAACTGTACTGTATTACAAAGACATTTAAGACAGGTTGAACCATTAACACAGTTACAAAGATTTGGTATTGAATAAAAATTTGAAAAAAAAAAATAAGTTTTGAAATTGAATAACTGTTCTTTAATGTAAAGTAAAAGGACACAAGTGCAACTAATGTGACATTTATTGTGGCAACGTTTCGCTCTCCAGGAGCTTGATAAAGCTCCTGGAGAGCGAAACGTTGCCACAATAAATGTCACATTAGTTGCACTTGTGTCCTTTTACTTTACATATTGTCGGTAATTCTACCAACTTTATGTTCTTTAATGACCAGATCACAAAATTTACAAGTATTGTTATTTTCAAGTTACCCAGAAGTCAGTTGTGGCGTGGAGTCAGTTGTGGTGTGGAGTCGGTTGTGGCGTGGAGTCGGTTGTGGCGTGGAGTCAGTTGTGGCGTGGAGTCAGTTGTGGCGTGGAGTCGGTTGTGGCGTGGAGTCAGTTGTGGCGTGGAGTCAGTTGTGGCGTGGAGTCAGTTGTGGCGTGGAGTCAGTTGTGGCGTGGAGTCAGTTGTGGCGTGGAGTCAGTTGTGGCGTGGAGTCAGTTGTGGCGTGGAGTCGGTTGTGGCGTGGAGTCAGTTGTGGCGTGGAGTCAGTTGTGGCGTGGAGTCAGTTGTGGCGTGGAGTCAGTTGTGGCGTGGAGTCAGTTGTGGCGTGGGGTCAGTCGGATGAAGAGTTTTCCTGAAAGCCAGTATTAAATTTTCCAAATTTCTTTAAGGAACTTGACAAATTTTCACCTACACAGTTGAATACCAATACAAGATTTTTTCTAAGCAAGGTAGATCAGGGTTTACGGTTAAATGCAGATCAAAAAGGCTTTCAACAAGAGAAATTTGTTCATTAAACCTGTCAAAATACAACTTACACAGCAGCAAAGCGGCAGGAAGCTTCAATTAATGTTAGATCACCATCACTGAGTGTTTGAACCAGATCAACAGAGTAATTATCATGTTATTTCTCGGAATCCAGTAAGGCCTAGTTACCGACCGGGCCGTGGGGGGCGCCGATCCCCGCGGCCCGGTAAGTCCAAGTTCCTTTATCTGTTACGACTTTGATGTCGTAACTTAAATAAAATGGCCCTGGCTCCTAAAGGCTGCTCACACTGCTGTCTAGGGGTTATAAAATTACTCTGAAAACACAGTGAACCTTGGGCCAGCATGTACTTTTATATTAAACAATCTTAATTATTATTAGGAAGGAAGGACAAAAACTCGCCTATATAAAATATATCTGTTAATAGTTATAGTAACTTACAACTTACAATCTACTACAAAAACCACCACACTACAATTCACATTAGCTCACTAGCACACTGCTACTAATGAGTTAAAATAAATGAAAATTTATGTACAAGGAGGCTCCATGACCCCCCCTTCCCCCATCTTTCTGCAGTCTACATAGCCTACAGTGGAAACGGCAAGTGGCCCGGTGGCCTGGTGGCTAAAGCTCCCGCTTCACACACGGAGGGCCCGGGTTCGATTCCCGGCGGGTGGAAACATTTCGACACGTTTCCTTACACCTGTTGTCCTGTTCACCTAGCAGCAAATAGGTACCTGGGTGTTAGTCGACTGGTGTGGGTCGCATCCTGGGGGACAAGATTAAGGACCCCAATGGAAATAAGTTAGACAGTCCTCGATGACGCACTGACTTTCTTGGGTTACCCTGGGTGGCAACCCTCCGGGGTTAAAACCCGAACGAAATCTTTTTTTATCTTACTTTTAAAATACTCCCCAAAACCCCGGGCCCCCTGTACTAAGCCTTTACAAATAAACAGAGAGCACTTAAAAAAAATAATGATACTCAGAGGATATTAAATAATGTACACAGAGGAATACATGGAACCTTGGTCCGACCCAGTTCATTCCAGAACCTGGGGGCGACCTGATTATCATGACCTAAACCCAATTATTAAAAACACGTTTAAATCCTTTTCGGGCCCCCTACGAACTGTTTTGTAAATTTGTTTTTGAAGACTTAAAAGTACAAAAATAGTTAATGATTCAAAAAGCATAGTGTAATAGAAACTAATGTAAAAACCTTGAAAACAAGAAAACCTTGAATAACCGATAAAACTTGAATAACACGATAAAACCCTTAAATAACACTGAGAAAACTTGAACAACAAAGAAAGCTAACTTTCCCGAGCCTTTTTAGCCCCTTAGAACCGTTTCGCTGTAAAAGTTTTTTTATTTTTTAAGGGTGAAAAGTGAACCCCGTTATTTATCGCCCGATATTTTCATTTTGTGTAGAAAGAAAATCTTTCCATAAAACTTCCCAAAAGTTTAAATAAACACCCCAACAAACAAAAAAACAACTGAAAAAAAACATTCCCAAAAAAAAATATATGCGTAAGCCCTACCGGGGGGTCGGCCCTGGAAAGCTGTTTGTGTACTACCTGCTGAAAAAAATTTGCTAATCCAACTTAACGGTCGTTTTTCGTAATTTTTAAATTATTTTCGAGAAAATCGAGAAAAGGGGCGCACCGAAAAAATGGAGAAAAAAGTCATGGACTTTTGGGGGTTTATCTTAGGTTCTCTACTACATGTTGCTATATATGATAAAACTATGAAAAACTGTATTTGTGTATCCCTGAATAAACTGCTTAGTTTTTGGGTTATTACGGTGTATATCACAGCACTGTACACACTAGTTTTCTCAAATATAAATACCCAGGGGGGATAAGAGGTGGTATTTGGTCTTTTTCCCCAAGTTCACGTGAGAATGCACTTTGACCAAACCGACTAAGGTGAGGGGTCTTTGTTAGGTGTACACAAACAACAGAAGGGGGCAAAATTGGCGCATGAAAAAAAAAAAAAATGGCGCAAAATGGAACTTTGGCGTGGCTGGTTTGTCGGCCCCCATTGGGGTTTCGGACCAGGCATAAATTTGGCGAATTGTTTTTTCGTGAACCGATTTGTTTGTGTAAAAGGGAAATATTTTTTACCAAAGGGTTCCACTGTTAAATAATGGACTCGAGGGAAAATTAATAAAATTTAAGTACTCTTTAAATTTGTTAACTTGAAACACCATTAACGAGAGTTTTTTAATAATTCATTGTTTTCCTTTTATTTTTAAATTTACTTTACAGCTGAAAATTGAAGGATAAATGAAAAATTCAAAAAAATTTTGTAATTTTCAGTTTTACCAATTTTTTCATAAAATGTCACAATTTTACAAGTTTTGTGCTTAGGGGGGAGGGGCCTTATTTGGGGGTTGGATCTGGTCCCGTTCCCGAATTAAGCCTGAATGCCCCTTTCCCCTCCCCCCCCAGGGGCTGTATAATCCTCCGGGTTTGCCTTCCCCCCCTTTATTATAATAATAATAAAAATTT